CAGCCCAGGTTACCCTGCCTGAGCAGTAGGCTAGGAGGGCACTTCTGACCCCACTGCTCCAGGCACTCGAGGCCCCTCTGATGCAGCCTCTATGTTGTTGCCTCCTCTGGACTGACATGGCTCCAGTGTGCTTTCTCAGCTGTCTCTACGCCTAAGCACTCTTCTAAGATCAAAGTCACAGATTGGAGGAACTGATTGGGGGAGCCTGGTCTCTGCCAGAGCTCGTGCTGCTGGGGGCAGGAAGAGGGAGGATCTGGCTTCTCCACTCTCACCAAGACTCGCACCATGGGGAACCAGCCACATGGGACGTGGGTTTGGATGACTGTACACAACAAAAATGAAAGAAAAAAATTCAGATCAGTACAAAGACAGGAATAATCCTTTTACTCAGGATTCTCTTAGTTTTTTCGAGAGCTGTAAACTCAAAAGTTATACTATAGTTAAATCTTTATGTCATTTGTTATTATTTATATAATAAACACTTCTATAGCATGTAGTATATGCTGGTCACTCTTCTAAGTGTTGTATGAATATTAACTCAGCTAACCTTCACATCAGCTAATGACTATCATCATCTCTGTTTATGGATGGGGAAACTGAAGCCTAAAAAATAAAGTAACTTGGCCAAAACCACACAACTAGTAGGTGGTAGGAGAGATTGGCAGCTATGCAGTCTGGGGCTCCAGGGCTGATATTCTAACTACTATACCACATTGCTCCTTACTATAGCAGTTTTTATCTGTAGTTATACTTGAGAAAATGTTTAGTAAGCAATATGTAATGTATTCCATTATGTGGAGTCTGTCTTCTGAAGTAGATTTATTGTCTTTATATAAAGCCCTGAGTTAACAGAACCCCTACACATATTTTAGAGAGACGTCACTAACACGGTGATGTAATTAACAATCACAATCAAGCAACTTATGTCAAAGTTGAAAAGATCAGATAAACAGGAGACATTACAGGATAGTTCACGAAGAGACAAAACTTTATACGGTAGTTCTCCCTCATCTACAGTGTTGCTTTCTGTGATTTCAGTTACCCATGTCAACTGCGGTCTGAAAGTATTAAATGGAAAATTCCAGAAATAAACAATTCATAAGTTTTAAATTGCACACCATTCTGAGCAGTGTGACGAAATTTCACACCGTCTGCTGTCCTGCCTGTGATGTGAATCATCTCTTCTTTGGATCCCCAACTACTGACATTATCTGCTCCTGACATCCAACCACCGACATCGTCATGGCTCGATGGTGATCCTCCTTCTCAGAATCATCATCAGGTCACCAGTTGCCTCATGCTATGGCACAATGCCTACGTCATTCACCTCACTTCATCTCATCGCATACACATTGTGATATCATTTCACATCACCACGAGAAGGGTGAGTACAGTACAATAAGATATTTTGAGAGAGAGACCACATTCACATAACTTTTATTGCAGTATAGTTATAATTGTTCTATTTTATTATTAGTTATTGTAATCTCTTACTGTGTCTAACTTATAAGTTAAACTTAATCATAGGTATGTATGTATAGGAAAAACCATAGTATATATAGGGTTTGGTAGTATCCTTGGTTTCAGGCATCCACCAGGGGTCTTGGAACATATCCTCCACGAATGAGGGGGGACTACTGAACACTTATGCCCCAGGGAACTCTTACTTTAAGGAGTTTCCAACTTCTTTTGTAAATAATCCCTTTTCTCTTATCCCCTTATATGATTATTATTGATTTTTTAAAGTCAAACTTTTGTTGTATCCAGATACTGAGTCATATTTAGACACCCAGGATATACAGGAATTTACCCATGTCTTCTAGTAAGGTTTCATTTTTTACTTTAGAGCTTTATTGATTTGGAGTTTATACTTAAGCGTCGTGTGAGGCATAGACCTAAAATTTGATCTTTTTCCAAACAGTTATCCAGTTGTCCCAACATCATGTTTTAAAGTATTTTTTCTTTTTTTTAAATTAATTAATTAATTTATTTATTTTCCCCCCAAAGCCCCAGTAGATAGTTGTATGTCATAGTTGCACATCCTTCTAGTTGCTGTATGTGGGACGCAGCCTCAGCGTGGCCAGAGAAGCAGTGCGTCGGTGCCTGCCCGGGATCTGAACCCGGGCTGCCAGCAGCGGAGCGCACGCACTTAACCGCTAAGCCACAGGGCCGGCCCCCAACATCATGTTTTAAAAAGTCCATCCTTTTGCCAGTGATTTAAGGCATCACCTTCACAGTGATTTTTTTTTTTTTAAGTTCAATTCAACTAATATATATAGAGTATCTACCATGAGTTGGATACTGGACTTGGAAGTGCCAGGAGAAAAAGACTCGGCCTCTGCCCTCGAGTTTCTGACTAATTCAGATTTCTAACAGTAAAGCTATTTCCTACAATGAGATGACAGACTGCATAGGACTTGATCAATAACTTTTCATTTAAAGGCAAGATCTCTCATCTTTCTCAAGAGACCATCTATTTTTGATCACATTTTTCACTTTAGAAAAATGAGAAATTTGCTGTGGCTAAAGTACAGTTATACTCAGAAATACTGCTTAGCTAAGAGAAAAAGAGTCCTTTTTTTTATAATTTTATTTTATTCCCCCCCCCCCAAAGACCCAGTAGATAGTTGTATGTCATAGCTGCATATCCTTCTAGTTGCTGTATGTGGGACGCGGCCTCAGCATGGCCGGAGAAGCAGTGCGTCAGTGCGCGCCTGGGATCGAACCCGGGCCGCCAGCAGCAGAGCGCGCACACTTAACCACTAAGCCACGGGGCCAGCCCAAGAGTCCTTACTTTTTAAACTCATCTGAGAATTGAGAACTGAGACAGACTCTTTTCCTAATGTCTGGTTTATCTCAGGGACTCCAAAACCACAGAAGCAAGGGCAGCTGGACACATGATCACTTGTCTGATAACTGCCATCTCTATTTATCTCACATCTTGAGCAAATCTGAGTGCTCTGCCCAGTAGTCCAGTGATCTCGCTTTCTCAGCTTGTATCTATTCCTTTTTTATTAGAAACTTTCTTGTCTAATGCTTTCCTGACCACAGATTAGAAACTTGAAACAAGAGATATTTTCTGTGGTAAGGAATTACTTTGGTATATGAACTAAGAGGAATCAGTGGTATGTCCTCTGGGGGTGATGACGCTTTTTCTTTAAATATTCTGCATTTCCTCTTCTACAAATATCACACATTACACAAATATTTGCGGAATGCCTTCCAAGTATAACATGCTGTGGTGCGCTACAGGATGACGTATGCTGGGTACTGATTTCAACTTCCCAATTTCACGTGTAGCGTATTTTCTTCTATTTTCACCTTGGTACTTCCCTTCTAGTCACATTATTATGCATATGATACATGCATACCTCAGATGTAAAATCTGAGGGTTGATAGGAATCTTAGCTTTAACTTGATTTATCATTTGTGGCTTGCATCTACAGGCGCTCCAGATAATGCTTAAAGTATTGTGTTAGAACAGATGGATCCAAGTGAGTTCTGGGAAAGTAAATCTATGGAAGTTGGACAGTTACTGACCTGTATCATAGAATGGTGGTGGTAGGGAAGGTAGAGAGTTCAGATATGTGCTGTACTGGAGAAAGAAGAAATGGAAGAAAACAAGCGGCCCATATATAAGGGATCATATAACTTATCATCCAAACCAGAACACTTCTCAGGGTGAAAGGGGCACTATTAATAATTATGTTGGTAGACTTTTGGTGGTGAACATGCTGTAGTCTACACGGAAGTCGAAATATAATGAGGTACACCTGAAATTTATATAATGTTATAAACCAATGTTACCTCAATAAAAAATTAATTAAAAAAAGGAAAAAATAATAATTATGTTGGGACAACAGTTATAGCTGGGACTGTCCTTGGTAAACCAGATTAGACCTACAGTAATTTAAGAAGAGAGAAAGAGCAGGTATAGCTATTGTCCATTAGGAACCTAGGGATATCAGAATGGCTTGATGAGTGTGTTTATGGGACTGCCAGACAAAGATTTCTCCTTCTAGCATAACTGTGGTCCTAAAACTTAAATTTAGGTTTGTGGTTAAGGGGCAAAATAATCTGATTCCCAATAGGACCCTGCAGACAAAGGCTTATGCGACCTATAGCCTTTGGATCTTGTCGTTTTGGTGTCTCCACGGCTTGTGCAGACACTGATAACCAATTCTACCGCTCTGCCAAGGGCGATTTTGGGATCAGAAATGCTTTCTCTGCAGCTTCTCAGAGTCTCTTCAATTTGCTCTACCACCAAGGAAATCAGAAATCTCAGACCAATGCTGGATGTGGCAGAAATCCCAGGACAATTCAAAACTTCCCTACCAATTTAGGGTTATCTGCCTGGTACGACTTCAACTGGCAGTGGACGGTAGTTTATGAAGCTAAAAGCTAAACATACAGAGTAGTTACCAGAATGGTGAACCTTGTCAGCTAACGTTTGCCAACTGTGTACCGCATTCAGCTAAAATTTACTGAGCGCCTACTACCTTACATGTATTTCATTTAATCCTACGTCCCCCATGCAGCTGCTCTTCTTGTTTCATAAGAGGAAATCAGGCTCACAAAGCTAAGTGGCTCGACCAAGCTGACAGCTGGACTGGGGCTCTGTAGGGGTTGCAAGCCTTGTCTTCCTTCTTGCACTGTCACCGATTGGCACGTGGTAGACACGCCCTGAGATGCTGGGGGAGGTCCATGGTGGGCCACTCACTTGCCCAGTTACCTTGGCAGCCCTTGGACATCCACCTGCCCTTCAATAAAGTGCTCCGGCAGGTGAGCCCGGAAGAGAGGCAGCGAAGCGAGTACACGTGAAGACCCGAGCCCGGCCCACACACGGTCGCGGTCAGACAAGACTTGCTCTGCCCCCCAACATCACTACCACTACGGCGGCGGCGGCGGCGGCGACGTGCGCCCCACACTCAAGATGGCGGCGGAGTCGTCAGCGGCCTCCTGCCCTTCTCCATCATGGCGGCGGCCGGACCCGCCTCCCTGGGCGCCGTAGTCATGTGACCCACACAATGGCTGAGAGCCTACTCCAGGCTTCCCGGCAACGCCGAGTGAAAGCCATGACGGCCGCCGCGGGTTCGGCGGGCCGCGCCGCGGTGCCCCTGCTGCTGTGCGCGCTGCTAGCGCCCGGCGGCGCGTACGTACTCGACGACTCCGACGGGCTGGGCCGGGAGTTCGACGGCGTCGGCGCGGTCAGCGGCGGCGGGGTGAGCGGCGGGCGGTGGGATGCGCCGGGCCCGCCCCGTCCCGCCCACAAGCCCCCGCGGCTCAGCCCCGCGTCTCGCCGCAGTCGGGTCGCGGTCTGGCTCCCGGCGGGCCACCCCGCAGCCGGCGGTCTGGGTCCCCCACCGATTCGGGGCTGGGACTGGCGCTTGCTCTTTTAAGGTGAACCTGTAGAGGCAGTTAGGTTTGACGGTGAGGATCTGGAGGTACGCCCAGTAAGTGACAGGTCTAGATAGTGTCAAGGCTGGGGCTCGAACCCTCGCCCTGAGCAGCGGGGCCTGGGCTCTCCTGGCCGCGGAGAGGGCATTCCGGGAGGGTCGCTCCAGAAATGGCCAGGGAGCCGGGAAGCAGCTCTGTCCAAGAGGATGCCCCAGTGGGAAGCTTTGGCTGTGCCTCTTCCTCTTTAGGGAGGTGGGTCGGGGAGTCAGAAGCCCAGGGCCACCAGTGCCGGGAGTGCAGAATAGGTTTTTGTTTGGAGCCACGATGGGTGCCTCAAGGCTTCTTTAGGAAGGGAAGAGGCCTGAAACTCCTGGGACTTTATTTTTATTTTTTTCCCCCAAAGCTCCAGTAGATAGTTGCATGTCATAGTTGCACATCCTTCTAGTTGCTTGGGACTTTTTTTTTTTAAATTAATGCAGGTATCAACTCATACTGAGTCTAGGATTGTTTACTGTTGAGGGACTGTGTTGCTCGGTTGGTCAAGGCCCAAGCGAGTGAGTTGCCCCCGGAAGGCTCAGTGCCCCGTCCCTCAGTGATGACTACTTTTGTGTGTGAGGAGGAGGAAACATTGGGTCAACAGCCGGGACTGTCTCACCACCTTTGGGGTGAATAAGAATCGCTCATGTGCTTGTTAAAATGCAGATTCTGGCCTCCTCCCGTCCCTCATTCTGACTTTGTAGTTCTCCGGTGGGGCCTGAGAATCTGCATTTTAGCAAATATACCAGTTGATTCTTATACTGGGTATCGAGACCTTTGTCTTGATAAAAGGATCTCTGGCTCAAGGGGTGAGTTGGTTTTTGTAAAATAGACTTTTAATTTTAGAATAGTTTTAGATTTACAGAAAAGTTGCCAAGACAATACAGAGTTCTCATATACCGTGCAGCCAGTTTCTCCTGTAATCAGTATCCCACACTGGTATAGTACATTTGTCACAACCAGTATTGATAACATTAATGAAAGTCCTTACTTTCCTTCATATTTTCTTAGTTTTTACCTAATGCACTTTTCCTATTCCAGGATCCCATCCAGGATACCAGTCGCCTCTAACTGGCGTGTCTCCTTAGGCACCTCTTGGCTGTGACAGTTGAGATGAGTTCTTATTATCTGGGCATTCCCTAAGATTTATGTAAAGGGAGATATAAGGGCCATTCCAGCTTTGTGCAAATTTGTGTAGGCACAGCTGGTAATTTTCTTAGCTCCCTGGTCATGCTGATAGGTGGCCTCCAAGTGTGGGAGCTTGCTTCAGTAGCATGATTGCTCTGGGCTCCTAACAAAATTTAATTGCTCCTGTCTCATGCTCTTTATAATTTTTGTATTGTTGTTCTTTCTATCCCCGTTTGTAACCTTTGGGGTTTATGGTGGCAGACGTTTGGGTGAGAGGGATTTTCTTTTTGTACCCCAGATCACAGCTGGAGCTGATTTTATTTGAAAACGTTAAGGCTGAACACTTGAGTGGGTTGTTTGTTAGGTTGAGTCAGATGGAGCTTGTATCCTCAGATACAATTCAGAACTAGTGTGAATGCTTGCTTGCTGGGTGGGTGTTTTGTGCTGATCTCAGCCTGTCGATAACCAATGTTGTAGCTGGACTGGCTCTTGTGCTTCTTTTTATGACTGCAGTACGCCCTCAGCAATAACCATCAAGAAACTTTGGGGAAAAAAAAAAAGATTTATTACTCACAGGTCCTGGAAAGCACCGGCACACGTGGGGCTACTCAGTGAGGTCATGGGTAGTGAAAGAGTGTGGCCTGGGGTTCTGCTTTTATTGGGGTTGAGGGTGGGGGCCTTAGCTTTCGCGGGCTCACTTTATTGGTGAATTTAAAACATAAGAGCAGGAATTTAAAGCACAGGAAGAAAAAATACAAGCAGCTCAAAATGGTCAGTTATTGAAATCAACCAAGATCGATAAACCAAAAAAGCCTAGTCTCCCACCCCCACCCTTACCGCTGGCAACGTGTTTATTCGAGATAGCCCTCCTTGAAGTGGGTGCCTTGGCAATCAAAGCCTAAGTCAGACACTTGCATTACAAAGAAGAAAAAAACAAACTGTCAGGGCTTACATTGTAAACCACCCTATGATGTCCAGGAATCAGAGTCAATGGTGAGGACGTTAACTGCCTGGGTAGCTGATTTGCTAAAAGTCAGGGGCAGGGCACTTTGTAACCCAGAAAGTACACATCTAAATAGGATTATAGAAGCAAATCCTATAATAATTATACAGGCAATAGTCTGAAGTCCAGTCCATAGCCATTGTCCCAAACTTGAAGTGTCCCACCATGAAACCAGTTCATTGATCTTGGGGTCCTAGGAATCTGTTCAAAGATGATAATATTGTGAAATATTTTAACATTTTAGGCCACTTGGTGTAAGTAGGTTTGAACCTGTCCTGAGTTGGTAGATGGCTTCATATCTCGTTGAACCAGTCTCTTAATCCTGACAACAGGATTGTCAGGATTGACAACAGGCAGTCTTGCAAGTGGGCTCCCAAAGTTAGGCCTACATGGTGAAAGTATTTGCATCAGGTTGTTTAATAAGAGGTATTTGTATGGAAAAAGTAGGAAAACAATGGTTAATGGTTAGAGCAGACTATAAACTCAGTCCGAGTCCTGAGGGTGGCCTGTGGAAAAGATTTCTAGTTGTAGGACTTGAAGTATCTTCAGATGGAGTAGGGGCAGAGAGTGGCAATCTGATAGATTTTCCTGGTTTGCAGTTTGAATGTCTTTGGTAATCTTTCTGTGGGGCCCATGCAGCAACAGGCACGAAGATTGTCCATACATGAACTGTTGTGATTTCTCTGAAGTTCTTATCAAGTCTTACTTTAGCTTGCACGGCTTCAGGAAAATAGCAGTTTTAGTTCTCCATGATTCCAAGCCAGAAGGGTGGAAGAAAAATTGGAAGCATTAGTTTGGAGAGCTGTAGCCAGATATTGGAGGAAATGAGAAGAATTCAGTATCCAGTCTAGTTTACAGGTAGAAAACAAACCTCAAAGGCAATTAACAGGACTAGAATCTGATATCCAGAAGGGTGTACTATAGTTTTCCATTGAAACATAATTCTTTTTTTCTCTATAGGCACTCTCACTTCTATCAGAGATAAAGTAAGACTAATTTATTTGCAAAATAAGTTTAGTCTTGTTAAACTTGGCCTGATTATTTACGTAAGTGCAGCAGGAATGGTGATTGACCATACAGGCTCTTTTAGGTCTGCTTTGATGGACCTTTTCACAAGGAATCTAGATTAGACTCTTAAAAGCCTCTTGAGGCTAGGAAGCCAAGCTGACTCACAATCAGATTTCATCTGCAATATCTGTAGATTTGGGTGAATTCCTCTCTTCTTGAGGTCCCCAAAATATCCTGTTTCCTGGGCCTGCCAGGAAGTGACCTTCCTTACTCACCTGGTAAGGCTGCTGAGAATCCTGTAAATAAGGTACCAGGCTGATTTTTCCAAGGGGCTTTATTGGCTCCATCAAGACAACCTTAGTTCCTTAAAGCTGTCTGGTCATATCTGAGTCTATGTACATCTCTCTCAAATATGACGTTCTAGTCAACAAAGCCTTGGTAATATAACCAATGTTTCCAATTTAGTCCTGTTACAAAGAGCAGATTCTTATTGAACTTGTGCAAATAACTATATTGTCATGAAAATAAGAATACTCCCTAAGAGTTTCTGAATGCTGGAGGGATCAGGTAGGGAGAAAATATACTTGTTTCATCTTTTTCACAAGGATATACTTGACCAAATTGCTGTAAATCATAGCTAGCTTAAGAAAAATGGTTTCCTTGAATCTGGAAAAAACAAAACATTAAAGAACCAACAGTGTGTCAAATAAAAAGTCATAAAAATTATAATCATCCTCATTGGTTCATTCAGTCCCATGTAATTAATTCTTGTTGATCTGGCTCTTTTGTTGGCAGTTTTATAAATCCTGGTTCTCCTTAGAGTTCTATAAATTCTTACTCAGTTCAGTGGTATGATCTGAAAGTTACCAGAACTCTGTACTTGTTAGAGTCCTTTGAAGCACCTTTGTAGAAACACTTTTGCAAAAGCATCAGAGTAAAACAATAACTGTCTGTAAATGACGAAAAGACTTAAAAATGGCCATGTTAAAGATCTGATGAGAGTTTATGACTATGCAATTGATAAGGAAATTTGGTTATTTCTGTGACATACATTTTAACAAAATAACTAGAATTACAAGGGATAACATTATACCGTGACATAGCAGATGTCTAGGAGTTTCATATAATTTCTGGAACATTTATTAATAACATATATCCATACAAATATAACCTAAAGAAGGTTTAGCATTACTTCTTATTTGACAATGCTTCGTTTGTAGTTTAGCCTATTAAATAAGCCTTATTAGTTTAACGTCTATCTTTTTATAAGGAGAGGAAAAAAACCCTTTGAAATTTTCTAGGGACCCTCTGGAAAATCCCAAAGTTAGTTTGAGGTCAAAAAGACTTCATTTAGAATTTGATTTGGGAAGTTTCTCAAAAATATCAAAAGACTTTAGAGCTATTAAACAGGATCATAGGTCACTGTGAAACAATACTTTAGTTATCCATTTAACCAAAGTGACAATTAAAGACTTCACAGGCAATACAGAAAGTTACATAGTTGTAAAAAAAAAAAAAAAACTAGCTTTTTTAATAGGGAAGACTCAGTTTTCTCAAGTAATCATAGATGTGGTAAAGGCAATGTGAAGCACAGGAAATTATTTTAATAAAACACAGAATCTTTGTTTCCTAGGCAGATTACTTAAAAGG